TGTTATATCTCGCCTTGACTATTGTAACTCTCTCCTCATTGGCCTACCTCATCGCACGCTATCCTCTCTTCAGTCTATCATGAATGCTGCTGTCAGACTCATCCACCTTACTAACCGTTCTGTATCTGCCACCCCTCTCTGCCAATCCCTCCACTGGCTTCCCATTGCCCAACGGATTAAATTCAAAACATTAACAATAACATATAAAGCCATTTAAAACTCTGCCCCAAATTACATCATCAATCTTGTCTCCAAATATCACCCAAACCGTACTCTCCGCTCCTCGCAAGACCTCCTACTCTCTAGCTCCCTTGTCTCCTCCTCCCATGCTCGTCTTCAGGACTTCTCCAGAGCTTCTCCCATCCTATCTCTTCAGGGAAGCCTATCCTGCCCTCAGCTAATAATGGATCTTCTACGCTTCCAACCAATCCATCCCCCACAGTTACTACCTTTTGTACCACTAGCCCCTCCCTCCTAGATTGTAAGCTCCGAGGAACAGGGCCCTCCTATCCCTCTTGTATTGAACTGTACTGTTGCTGTATTGTCTCCCTTTATATTGTAAAGCGCTGAGCAAACTGTTGGCACTATATAAATCCTGTATAATAATAATAAGTCTCTGTTTGTACTGAGGGCTGGGCAGAGTGTTTTAGCACATCTGTGATCAGGAGCTACGTAGGTTTCGCCTAGGCAAAAAAGGAAGTAATTGCTGCCTTGAAGCATAAAAAATAAAAATAAATATAAATGAAAAAAATAAAATTGTCCAATGGTGGGAGAGGGCTGGAGCCAGATACAATAAATAACTTTTTTGGAGGTGAAGGTCCACTTTAAGAACAATTTGAAAATATTTAGCAGCCATATTTCATTATTTTGAGTGTTTTGAAACCAAGGAAGGTGAATTCTGAAGGATTACAGTAAGTTCGGCATATCACCATTGCTTACAGCTCTGCTCTGTTTAGAGGCCTATACATACATTGTCAGGTTAAGTGAATAACATTGATTATCTTGTTACCATTGTATCTGAGAGTCAGTGGGATATATTAGGCAGCAAGTAAGCATGTTGTCCCTGTACTGATGTGTTAAAAGCTGTAAAAAGAGCACTACAGTTTGTGTATGGGGTAGTGTAGCTGCAGACTGGTCAGGTTGCCCATGCTGACCTGTTTCTACAGCCAAAATCACCTGGCATGTGAGCGTCAGAGCTAGAGCACAAAGCAATGTAATAAGGTGGCCTGGTCTGATGAATCACATTCTCTTTTACGTCATGTTGACAGCTGGGGGCATGTGCACCGCTTACCTTGAGAAGAAGCCAAGCCGGCGGAGGCATGGTTTGGGCAATATTCTGCGGGGAAACCTTGGGTTCTGCCTTCATGTGGATGTTACTTTGACACAAACCACCTACATTTTATTTATTTATTTCAGGTACTTATATAGCGCCGTCAGTTTACGCAGCGCTTTACATATATATATTGTACATTCACATCAGTCCCTAACCCTCAAGTACAATCTAAGGTCCCTAATTTACATTCATACACATACTAGGGCCAATTTAGACAGGAGCTAATTCACCTACCAGCATGTCTTTGGATTGCGCTGTGTCCACAGAGACAAGGGAGGGGGGGGGGGGTGAGCGGCAACGGACCTGTAGCCTGCACTTGGCAAATCCACATGCCGGCACAACAGGGAGGCAGACTGCCTGGTGCTTTAACCGACGGACAGGATGAAGCCTTTGGCAGGGGAGCAGCTCCCTGGTGCCCACCACAGAATGTATGTGGCCTGTGTGTGAGGTTCCAGGGTACATGATGGTGGCCACTGGGTAGTGAACTGTGGCGGGGTCTGTAATGGGGCAAAAGAGTAAATGGGAGGTGAGCAGGGGGATTGTGACATCCCCCATCCACTCATTTGAGGAGAATGAAGGAAACCTTTCTGCTGTGCTATTATATTCTTCTGACAGCGGGACTCCACTATCAGAATACACTGAACAGTGCGCTGCATGCACTGATGGTGTTTAACATTTTCCAGCATTCCCATTTGAGAAAAGCTGATTGTTGGATCGACTTCTCCCCAACGGGAACAGCCGTAGATGGATCAAAATTTGTCTAGTCCCTGCTGAACTGGATGAATTTTGATCCATTTTTGGCCAGCTTTAGGTTTAGGGTTTAAGTGCTGTGGATGGTAAAAGTTAATTTGTAGGTTTCTGGTGGAAGGAGGGTGTGTAATAGGCACAATGAAGACAGGTACATCTCTAATCCCTTATAATAAATTCAATTTCTGCCAATCTGTTGCCATCATTGGTGGCTGTTAGTGGGGGCAAAAATGATACAGTCTGATATTTCACAATGCTTGTATCTAAATGGTAAAGTGTGAAAGTTTAAAAGACCAGAAGACAAAAAGGACCCTGAGACCTAGCAGGCTGATGCTGCAATGTGCAGGCCATTATCATGATCAAATTTACTTAATGATACATCACTTGTTTTAAAGCCATCAGCCCACTTGGTTTGGGTTCAAACATACCTCACCGGTTAATCCGCTTATAAGGATAGAAGGAAGCTGTATGTATTCTCAGCTTCAATGTACAACAGTAGAAGAATGGGTGCAACTTTACATACTTAAGTTACATTTTTACATCTTCATTTAGCGGAAAATATACTTGGTGTTTACAGCCTTCCAGTTTGCCAGCCTGGAGGTGGACCCGAGGTGTTACCTGCGGAGGCAGCTCCTCTTTCCGATTTATTGGTAACCGCAACATTTTGTTTTGCAGAGAAGCGCTCTGTGGTTAATGTTGTGTCACCCAGAAGACACCGAGTCAAGAGAATCCCCTGAACCAATTGATCTGCCTCCTCTGCTTTCGTTCCTACGTGTAAACCTACGTGGCTGGGGAGTTGGACTAAGAGCACCCCTCCCTTTTCACATTTCTCTGTGCCCTTATAGACTTAAACCACATAAGTAGGCTTTTGTGAGGAGGGTAAATACCACAGAACTGGAGGAGGTACTAACCACGTACTTTCTTTGTGAACATCTGTTTGTTTTTTCTTTTTCCATACTTAGGGTATTTTCTGTATTTTGTTCTCTTTTGTTCTGCAACTACTTTGATACCATAGTGTTGTTTTAAAACAGTTTAGTCTTTATTTGGTAGGAAAAAAAGCAGTATTCCGTAACAGAACAACTAGAGAAATTATCCCCTTTGTCTTGACTAAACTGTTGAAATCTGATTGGTTGCTGTGGGTAGGGGCACCGCTGTGCTCTTTTGTTAAATAAAAGGCATCTGGCAGTGCAGTTTCATGTGTGGTTTTCTCTGATGATGAATTAAGGGATAAACCGAGATCTTTTGGGAGTGACTATGGGGCACACAGGGCAATGGGTCTACTAATGTTGATCCTTACACCTGCAAAAACAATTCAAATAAAAGAGACAGAGAAAAAAAAAAGCTGGCGCGTGGCATAAAAGAATGCCTATTTGTCAGCTCGGAGATGGTCCAATTCATTTCCGTACCTGCAGGAGTGACCTTCACAATTTGCTTCAGGCCCTCTCAAAAGTCATTGGCTCATTAGCAGAAAATGAAATATACTGTGCTCTCTCCGAACTCTCCTTCCTGTGCTTGTGGATGCCTCATCTCTTACAGTCATTGATGTGAGAGGCATGCAAAGTTTAACTCTTCTTGAAAAGCCAGCCATCCACTGGTTTGTTGTCTGAATTTAATTTCACGCGACTGTGACACGCTTACATTTTTCATCAAAAGAAAGATAGGAACTTGTTGCCCTTTTAGTAATTTTACAAACATTCTCTCTCATTTTTAGAATGCTCCTCTGTTTAAAAGATGCCCACAGTGGAATCAGTGCATTATATCTTATGATGGCCAAATATACAAAGAAATTTGATCTTGCACTGATGATCTGTAATTAGGAGCTGTCACTATTTCGATGTTTAGTGTCAACACAAGCTTATGTCATGCTCTCAAAACCCCAGTGGGTAAAAACATTGATTCGGAGGCTTGCCTTGTTAATGACATTTCCCAGAAGACTTTTCTCTTTAGTAGGTTTGTCTTGTCTTGTTTGCAGATCATTTGGATTGGCTAAACAGTTGGGTTGGTTGTTGCAAAGTATGACATTTTTTAAAACTTTTGTGCAAAGGAGAGCCATACAGTATATTCTTGGACACAGAGCAGTCTAAACGGTAAACGCTGGGCACAAAATCCTTTATTCGCATATCCCCCATTCCTCTACATTCCGTTTTGTTCCTTGTCTCAGGAAAGTGTTCACAGCCAAAGACGATCTGCAGCCATGAATCAGCCATCTCCTCTTTAGCCATTGTCAGATCAGCCATGGCTGGAGGGGGACGGTGGCATTTTGGACCTCTTTGCTAGGGTTTGAAAGCTCTTAGGAACATGGGACAAATTACAGAATATACTTTGTCCCATAGGGGACAGAACTGTAAAATAAAAACTATAATTATCTTCTTTAACCACAGCCTACAGGGCACTTATAGCCCCTTTCTGCCCAGGCCAATTTCCAGCTTTCAGCGCTGTCACACTTTGAATGACAATTGCGCGGTCATGCAACACTGTACCCATATGAAATTTTTATCATTTTTTTTAGACAGAGCTTTCTTTTGGATGGTATTTAATCACCTCTGGGATTTTTATTTTTTTTCTTAAACAAACCAAAAACCACTGAAAATTTTCTGAAAAAAAAAAGTTTTTTCTTAGTTTTTGTTATACAATTTTGTAAATAAGTGATTTTTCTCCTTCACTGATGTGTGCTAATGAGGCTGCAGTGATGGAGACTGATAGGTGGCACTGATGGGCACTGATGAGGAGGCACTGGTAGGTTGCACTGATGGGCATTGACAGGCATCACTGATGGGCACTGATACATGACACTGATATATGGCACTGATAGGCGGCACTGATAGGCAGCACTGACTGGCACTGATCGGCGGCACTGATGCGCACTGATAGGCGACACTGACTGGCAGGTGGCACTGATTGGCAGAACTGATAGGTGGCACTGATTGGCATTGATAGGTGGCACTGACTGGCACTGATGGGTGACATTGAAAGGCAGCTCAGATGGGCATGTATGGGCAGATATGTGGCATTGATGTGCACTGGTATGCACTGATATGTGGCATTGATGTGGCACTGATGGGCACTGGCACGTGGCACTGATGGACACTGGCATGTGGCACTGATGAGCACTGACATGTGGCACTTCTGGGGCCACACTGATCATCAGGGCACACTGATCATCAGTACCCTGATGATCAGTGTACATGTCCCCTCCGCGGAAAGCTGATTACCGGCTCTCCTCACCTCTCGAGCTGTCAGCGCGACAGCTCGAGAGGAGAGAAATGCCAATAACCGGCATTTCCGTGTTTACATGTGATCAGCTGTGATTGGACACAGCTGATCACATGGCCGAGCCGACATCTTCGGCTCTTTCCGTGATCCGCTGTGTCCGAGGGACACAGCGCACCGGCGATCGCTGCGCTGTGCACTCCCTGAGCCGCGCATGCGCAGTGAGAATGGTAGAACGTCATATGACGTCCTATCAGAACGAGAGAACTACCTTGCGCCCATCATTGTACTATAGGGCGGGTGGAAGGTGGTTAAAAGAGAAATATGTTTTTTTTCCCCCCATTATACTTACCTAGGTGGATGAAGCATCAGTCCGATGCTGCATCTGTCCTCCAGAGACTCTACGGGTGAGAACTCAGCGATCACATGACTGCTGAGTTCTCCTCTCCGCTCTGAGCAGAGAGCGGGACTGTCAGTCACTGCTGTCTGCTCACCCCCCCCCCCCCCCCCCAGTGCTTACTGGAGCCTTTGGCTGTGGAGTGGGAGGGAGCAGCTGACTCAAGCTCTCAGCACGTTGCTGAGACTGAGCCTGGTGCCGCTCCAGACTCTGGGGCGGATACCAACTGTAAAGTCAGCATCTTTCCCCAGCCTGGACCGGCTGAGTGAGTGACGGCAGCTGACAATGGACTTCAGTCTGTTTTCAGCTGAAAAACGGGTCACAGGAGTGCAGAACGAAAAGCACTCCTGTGACCCACAGGAGTAGTACAGCTAAAAGAGCTTCAGCTGTACTTGATGTACTTTCTGTGCATAAAATGCCTATAAAAGCCCACACATTACTTTGTAAAAGTAACAATGACATCCTTACTGTATTGTACATAGCCAGTGTGGAGAGGGACCCAGCATCTCCAATTACAGGCTGCCTGCAGAAATTAATGGGGGGGGGGGGGTGGAGACCAGACCAGTCACCCTATCCACGGAGAGAGGGCACAAGTGATCGGTCTTTATTGCAGGAAGCTCCAGCACAGGTAATTTTTTACGATGGATTACTGCACAGATATGGAAGAGAAACTAAAAGCGCACCAAGATTCAAGTGAGCGTACACAAGCCCTCTTGTATTTACATAATATTTGCTTATCTCAGAGTTCAATTTTAAAGATGAACTCCAGGCAGCTAAAAAAAAAAAATTGTTTAATGATGTAATGGATTTGTTAAAAAAGGACTGTAAACTAGATGAGTTCTACTGTATTACACAGTGTTGTCCCGCTAACCCTAAGGCCAGGTTCACGGTGCCGGCTGGTTGATATGATGCCCCTACCAGCATCAAAACTTGGATTAACGTTAATTGATGGGATTTTTTTCTATTTCTTTCTTTAACATGGTTGCAGTGTTTCCTGGATAGCGTAAGCAATTCACTGATTCTTTTCTTGTTGCCTAGAGTTGCACTTTAAAAGCTATTTTCTACAAGGTATGGGACTGAGCAAGCACATTAAGTGGTTCTTTCAACGAGCAAAGCACATTGAAGGAACAAAATTCTACTGTGTCATTCATTTTATATGTGTAAGGACAGCTTTGCTATTGCTACCAGTGTCCTTTTTCTTCTTTTTTTAAGGTGGTCCAGTAACTATCTAAAGGTGATTTTGTCATCACTGTGGTGGTTTCTTCATTAGTGTTTACAGCTGGTCAGAGGGTAGCGGGAGCAGCCATCAGGGCTTGGCATGTGACATCTGCAAATAATTCAACTTTGTGGACTCTGGGAAACGACTCAAGCCTAATGTGTGTGTGATTTTATGACAACACCAAAAGACATTTTCTTGCCTTTAGAGATGACCCATCTTGAATTGTAGGGTTTTGCCATTTGGGTTCCCCTTGTAACTTGGATTAGTAAAATAATTTGCTGCAATCCTGTAGTCCTTAGTTGGTTTTCTTATATCTCAGAGCGATAACAAATACAGTATGTAATTCATAATTTACACTGCATATACCCTGGCTCTTTCCAGGCAACTCATATTTGTCCTGAGTTTTATTCACTAGCAGAGGCGTCCCTAGGGTTGATCCGGAGTCAGATCCATTATGCTCCCCAATCCGCAGATCCCATCCATCCTGCGGGGATCGCCGGCATACAACCTATACGGGGTGACACCGGACCCGCTCCGTGAAATGGTAAGTTGTAAAGAAAGCCGACGATCGTCAGCTTGCTTTACAACTTACCTTTTCATGGAGGGGGTCAGGTGTCACCCCATGCGGTCGGTGTCACATGGTGCGGGCCACACCTGCCTCGGGACGCCACTGTTCACTAGTCTTGGAATGGTGCTTAGTAGGTGCTACCTTAAGGTAATCTTCATGACTGCTGCTGGTAATGTACAAGAACATTGTTCTCACCAGGGGGCCAGGTTGGGTTGTTTTTAGGTGATTACTGTTGTTTCTTTGGAGATTAGTCTGACTTGAGGGATGGTTGTATGGTTGTAGTTTGCTCTATCTCCTCACCTCCATAGACCATTTTTATGGATATACGACTGTGCTTCCAACATAGATACTTACATTATTATTATTATACAGGATTTATATAACGCCAAGTTTGCTCAGTGCTTTACAATATAACGGGAGACAATACAGCAACAACACAGTTCGATACAAGAGGGTTAGGAGGGCCCTGCTCCTTGGAGCTTACAATCTAACATCAATTGTTAAATTAAAGTGGTTGTAAACCTCAGACATGAAATATGAATAAGGCATATCCCTCTGTAGTGTGTACTTGTCTCAAATAAGAGCACTAAGTGTAATTTTTGTCTGTTGCTTCGTTCCTCTGTTATCAGCATAAATTACTTCTGACAGGTTTTCCTGACACCAAGGGAAAAAAGGTGACAGGAAGGGATCCCCAGCACACAGCTTGTGATTGACAGCCTCAGTTCTTTTCCTGTGTGCTGTGTCAAGGGGTTGTGTCCCTTCCCCCCAATCAGCTCCAGCTCTTCTCACTGAGCTCTGCAGTATGTATTTTCGACTCTTTGACCCTCTCTTTTTTTTCTGAAAGCTCAGGCAAGCTTTATCAGTGTTGGACTTTTGAACAGATTTAGTGAAGAGAAGACTGAAGATAAACATGTACAACTTATGTAGGAGGATTTGTTTAATCTCTGTGCATCACATGAGGCCAGTCACTTCATTGGTTATATGTAAAGGTTTACAACCACTGTAAATAATCAGTCCAACATTCATCTAATGGTTTGGCTAGATTCATTGCTTGGAAGACTACAAGGATGTTTGTCAGGCTCATTGTTGACGTACTGTTATATGATGTGCTCTCTGAATTTGCAGTAGATCAAAATGGTTGGTTTTTAATTAATGTGACTGTCCATCTGGGTGCAGCTCTCATTGTCTCATTTTCATGTGTTGCCCTACCAGGTGCTAAGGAGATTTGCTGCTTAACATGGTAGCTGTAATCATAGGTGATTAAAAACTACCTTCCAGGAGGAAAATGCTGCTTAGAGGCTACTTACCTCTAATGGTGCTCTCTAGCGAACTATGGACCTCAGAAAAGCAGAAAGTTGAAATATATTGCGGAGGCCTGCAGAACCGTTTTTTTCCACAACGCATGGTCTGTGAAGATGCCATTATCCTCAACCCAACCCATGAAAAAACACTTTTGCCCTTGATGTAAAATATGGCCAAAAAAACAAAAATGCAGTTATAAGGCCGAGTTGGACCTTGTATTGCGTGATCTCTTAGCTCACAGGTGTCAAACTGGCGGCCCTCCAGCTGTTGCCAAACTACAAGTCCCATGAGGCATTTCAAAATTGACAGTTACAAGCATGACTCCCAAAGGCAGAGGCATGATGGGACTTGTAGTTTCGCAACAGCTGGAGGGCCGCCAGTTTGACACCCCTGTAGCTGCTATGTTTGATATGATATTAGAGAAGCACAGTAGCTTTCTCAAATAAATATAGTTATTTTAACAAAGTCAGAGCGGGCAGAGAAGTCTCGGGAGAGAAAAGCAGGGTTGCATCTCTAAACTGAAATTCAGGGAGTATGGCATTACCTGACAGAGCAACGCTACATTGTGAGTCACTTCACATAGAGAAACTTCAATAAATAAACAGATATTTTTTGTAAATGCTGTAAATGTATTGAATGTACATTTTGACAGGTCCTCTTTAAGCCTGCACTTCACCCCCCACCCATCATCGGCACCGGGAAAGAGGACAAATGATAAGGTCAGGACATCGCTTGCTGACTCCATCGCACAGAAAAACAATGCAGCCTGCTGGGAAAATAACCATAAATGTTCATTATTTGCCCAGGAAAATCAATTTGTCTTCCAATTGACCAAATAAAATAATGTAATTTGCAGGAAAATCCCCCAGGTGAGTCAGGCTAGCCTTCGATCCTTTTACAGGGGATGGGGAAGAAGCAAGAAAAAGGGAGGGAAGCAATGACAAACAGACTTAAATTATGACATTTATACTACTTTAGACAACAGTTTTAAATGGCAAAGCCAGGCAGCTGTGCGTATACAGAATATTGCCTGGGTTTCTATTGGGACATATTGATCTTTAGTGAAGGGATTTTTGGCTTTACTTAACGTTTATTAGATATACGTGTGAATTTTTCAGTATGGATAATCTTATGGAGTATTGCCTGTTCCCATTTAAAACCCCCAATCCATTTTATATTTTTTTTTTAATAATTCTTTTATTTTGAGATAGTTGCAGCACAGAACAGATATGAGTACAAAAACACATTATAGTGTATCATAACTGGGTATTACATAGAAACCAATGTCCGATACAGAACAGCATTAGCCCAGGTAATCCTGCGTAGAGTACCGTATTTTTCGCCATGTATAAGACGCACCTGACCATAAGACGCACCTAGGTTTTAGAGGCAGAAAACAGGAAAAAAAAAATTCTGAACTAATGGACTGCAGACACAGTACAGGAGATGACCAGAGACTGCGGACAGCACAGGGATGACCAGAGACTGCGGACAGCACAGGGATGACCAGAGACTGCAGACAGCACAGGGATGACCAGAGACTGCGGACAGCACAGGGATGACCAGAGACTGCGGACAGCACAGGGATGACCAGAGACTGCGGACAGCACAGGGATGACCAGAGACTGCGGACAGCACAGGGATGACCAGAGACTGCGGACAGCACAGGGATGACCAGAGACTGCGGACAGACAGCAGGGAT